ATGATTTCTATATCAAATTATTTTTTTATTAAATTATTGTTTTATCAAATTATATTTTTATTAAATTGACGAGTAAAAAAATATTTGATGAAAGACGACGGGCGAATTTTATCAATAAATTTTTACTGCAGCTTCATGCGGACTAGGGAATGCAATCTTGCAGCAAAATGTACAATCTTGGTATGGGACATTCCACGTTACTCGGTAATTTTTGTCCCGCCCGTCACAATCAAAAATTGTGAGTAAAAACCACAAGTTATAAAATTAATATTTTATAATATTATTTTTATTGTGCTTATAACTTATTAAAAGCATAATAAAACAATATTTTTAAATAAATTTTATAACGTGTAGTTTTTACTCACAATTTTTAATTGTGACGGGCGGGACAAAAATCCCCGAGTAACGTAGAATGACCCGTATTGCAAGATTTAAGAGGTGTAATCTCGCAAGATCTCGGTATTTTTCGAGATCTCCCAGATTTAAGATTAATAAAAAAATAAATTAGTATTACAACTTTGTTAGTATATCGTAAGGGCAAAATAATGAAATAAAATATAAATTAAATAATGTATTTAAGACTATTTCACTCATTACTTTATGGACCAATCAGATTTCAGAAAACGAGTTGTTTTTTCAGTTTTGCAGCGATAAAACTACTATTTAGGTGACTATTTCCCTCGTCTTAATTTCCACCAATCACAAACGCGCAATTTTGAATCACAAATGGTTTCTAGGAGGAAAAACTGTATGACAGCACCTGTCAGCAGTTTTTTCCAGTTTACCCGCGGCAAAACTTGACAGCTGTTTTAATTGTACCATAAATAATTATGTTTGTAGTATTTTGTGATTAAATAAATTACCTATTTTTCAGTTTTTAAATTAATACCTACATATTTATTATGTATGCATGTATAATAGGTAGTATGTTTTGTAAGCTATGTGCATGCAGAATAACTGTTACTCATGAAATAGTCTTGTCAAATACCATTCGGGGTAAAAACACGATGCTAAGTAATTTTTTTAACAAAATGCATTCGTGCAGGTGCAAAAATCCTCCTCTTCGACTCGGATTTTTGTTGCCACCAGCACTCATGCTTCTTGTTAAAATATTACTTAGCAACGTGTTTTTTCGATTTTTACGGAAAAATTAAATCCCCTTATGATATTACTTACGACTATTTTCCTCGTCTTAATTTCCACCAATCACAAACGCGCAATTTTGAATTACAAATGGTTTCTAAAATTTCTGTGCTTAGTGTTGACAAATAAAAAATGCAATAGAAACTTAAAACAACAATGAAACGAAAAATAGAGATTTCAAAAAATTCTCTACTATTAGATATTATTTACTTTTAGTTTAATTTTATTTTAATGTTTTTTTTCATGGGTAACTTGAAAAAAATTTTGTAAATATTTATTAATAATAATAATAAAGTTTATTGTTTTCATAAATAAATCACATTTAAAAATTTGTTGTACCTACAAGTATAAACTTAAATATTATGAAAAAAAAACACAAGATTGTGCTCAAGAAGATAGAAATATTCTACCCCTCGGTTTTCAGCACAAACCCTGACTACACACAAATTACATTCATTTTATGTTATGCCTAGTGTTATTGTTCATTTTTAATTTGACTACAAAATCGTTCCTACTTAAAAAATTTCAATAAAATTTAGTAAAAGGTCGTTCTGAGGGGTGGTGTTTTTTTTGCTCCAAAAATACAGTTTATCAAGATCTAAACTTTAAAACGAATCCGGTTAAAATCGCACAATAAATAAAGATTTTACAGGGGTGAGTCGCAAACAAATGGGTCACACTGATATGTTTAATACAATAAAAATATATTCCCCTATTTGTTAAGTGGATTATCCCTTTCTTCCAAAAGGTTTAAGGGCTTACCTACTTGGTATTTTAATTAGTTGGCTGTTTACAAGCTTAATTGCTTTGATTACCAAATGTTGATTTTACTTGTCAGGTTAATTAACTGTTTTAATTTCCTTAATTTAGGGAAGAACAAACAAAATTTTATAAAAAAAGTATATAAAATCTATAGTGAAAATTCAAAATCCAAAACAATATGGACTAAAATATATTAGCAATAAATTTAATTAGTTATAGGTACGTGGGTAAAATTAATTAATTTTTGAAAAAATTGTGTGACATATGGAATCTATTAAAAAGATTAAAAATCCACTTACCTACTTATTACGTTATCTTGGTAAACACTATACAAACAAATATTGAAAAAGTATATCCACATCAACACTGAGTATAGTTACTTAACTATAGCTCAATTTTTATGACGTAAATATATCCTAATTAAATTAGGTCTCCAAATTAATAATTTAGTAAAAATAATTTAATAAAAGAAAATATTTAATTTTAAATGCAAATCTCCACCTTGAACAGTTTTTTTTTTAATTTTAAGGATATAATTTATTCTAAAAAATATACCAGCTACAACTTTAGGCACTTTGTATTTTGTTTTGGTATTGGGGAATATTTTTAATATTTGTTTAGAATTATAACCTCAAAACCAAAAGTTCCAGAAATAAGTAAACTACTGTGAAGTTAAATTTCACAACCTAGGTCTATAATACCTTGTTAATTCATTTAGTTGGATTTTTTTAAAAGGATTTTGACGGTTGATTTTAATTTTAAGCAAAATCATTTTTTTATGTATAAAATATTTAAATTTATTAGTAAAAAATGTATACACTAACGCCATGTGATAAGGGGGTTATTTAAATATTAAATTACGGGTTATGGAATTATAATTATTACCTTAACACATTGGCGGATCCAAGGGGGGGGCGATGGGGGCGATCGCCCCCCCCGGAAGTAAGTTATCAAGTTGAAATTGAACATAACTTTTTAATTTAATACAGAAAATAAAAAAAATGGAATAACTTTAATTTTAACTTTCTTATTATTTACAAAAATTTTCAACTCCGCCCCCCCCCAATGACACATTCTAGATCCGCCCCTGCCTTAACATCTAAAAACGGTTTTTATATAAACAATTCAAATATATCAGCCAAGGTTGATATGGTTGACAGATGTTTTTTTTGACAGTTTGTTTTAAGAAATCAAAACCTTAAATCATTTGCTATTATTAACAAATTTTATCTTTATATTTTTGAAACGTTTGTAGAAATTGATTTTATAATATTTTACATAAATATTCTTAAAAAAGTATTAAAAATGTAACTTAATTTAAAAAACTATGGTTACTACTTTACTAGGATTTTTAACTTTTCCGCTACCCCTGATAGCACACTTTATTCTAAGAATGTTTTTTAAACCTTCCAATGAGAATATTCTTAGGATCATGCTATATTTCTTCTAAAGAACATGCTTAAAAGAAATATAACATGATCATAAGCATATTCTTACTGGCCTATAGGCAGGTTCTTAGAAGGTGCAAAGTTTTAGTAGTAAAAATTAGTCTACTCTAAACATATGCTTAGAATGGTAAGAAAGTATACTTTCTTACCATTCTAAGCATATGTTTAGAGTAGACTAATTTTTACTACTAAAACTTTGCACCTTCTAAGAACCTGCCTATAGGCCATTATTATTGCTATAGAAAGTTCATTTAGGAATATCCTGTTAAGCATATTTAGTTCAGAGCTATATAATAGTAAAATATACCAAAAACTACGTACAAAGGTATATGTATACTTAAGTACCTATAGTATACCTAATTAGTAATTATAATTAAAAACTAAGTAAAAAACACAATCCAAAATATTTTTTTTTAGTTATTTGTCAAATTAAAACAATATTCGATAACAAAAATACTTTTACTATAGGTATTTTATTTTATGTTAATAAATATTTATTAATTTGTATACCAATTTTTTATTTCTAAATTAACATTTTTATATATAATAATTCTAACTATCTTCAACTTCAATCTAATCTGACTTATCCCACAAAATTTTCCAATTTTACTTTTTATGAAATAATGTCATAAAACGTATGGTTTAGAGGTAAAATTGTTTATTTAATATATTTATAAATAAATATATTAATGTCGCAAAATTTTTTAAGGAGACGAGAAATACATTTCACTGTCATATTATGTCAGTGAGGCGTATTTGTCGTCTCCATAATTTTACGAATGTAGAATACAACATATTAGAACGTGGGTATCTGACATATTTGCAAATATTGGGAATATTTTTAAAAGCTTCCTAGAAGCTCCATAAGAAACCTTCTATAGAAGAACACTCCAAAAACGTATTCTTAAAATGTTCTTAGGATGCTTTTTAGGAAGGTTTTAAGAAGCTTTTAAGAATCTAATTGCATCATTAAAAGGGTATCTATTGAATGTTTTAAAAGTTCCTAAAAACATTCTTAGCAATAAGGGAAGCTTCTAAGAATATTTCATTACTCCGGGTCATATTTTCTTAGAAGATTCTTAAAATCATATTTTGCTATCAGGGACGTCATCAATGTAATGAGACCATTACCGGCCGTAATCTAATCGGAGAAAGCGCTTAATTAAAGCCGAGCTACAGGTCACTGTAGAATAAATTCATGTACATAACCTATAATATAACAATTTATGTGTCAATTGTCAAACCTGAGAAAATGTCGCAAACTTGATAATTTCAATGTGAGTACAGAATTAATAAATGCTTGAAAAAAAATAGTATATACAACATGGCTGTTTACATTTTCTTTGCTGATTTCGAGCTAAACGCGATAGATGGAACCACTCTTCCAGTGTAATATAAATGCATTTTCATTATTGTACGGCGGTGTATAATAATGTGACTTTTGAACTGCGTACAAATATGAAGTCTTTCTATATATGTTTATGCAAAAGTTTTCCCTTGTAAATTAATTTTATGAAAAAGTAATTTTTTGTTTAAAATGTTAAACAGTTCACTTAACGATATAACTCCTTAAATCATATAATTTCTAAATAACTACCTATCTTATTAAACATTTAATTTGCAATATTAATTTTGTATACATCTTACCGGTCCCTTATAGAAGTATCCACTTTCTTTGGCCAAGAGCTGAGCAACCAGAGGACCGCCTTTCAACCGAACCACAAGCTCCTTGATCCCATCCGCCGCGTGGACGAAACAAAAAACGAACGATATTAAAACAAAAGAACGCGCGACAACCATACCAACTCCGATAAAATAAAAATCTTTTTGCTGCAATCTGGTAATGTTGTTCGGGTGAGCGGATTCGTGAAAATAAAAGTTGTCAGTTTTCAGGAGTTTCAGTTTCAGCGAGCGTTGTCCGTCCCCTCTGTCAAAGGCGAGAAACGAAAACACTGTTACGCACCAGCATCTGATGGTATCAATAGATAATGGATTTTTATGCAGTCGAATGACAATGAGTATCGGCTGATAACATTAACGATTGATAACCGAGCTTTTTGTCGATTTCGAGAGGTTTTTCGGTTCATTTAAAAAAGTTTATTTTTTCAGCATTGAAAAATGTCACTTTAGCTCCCAGGTCTACAATATAGTCAAGACGTTAACTATGAGTTTTGTGCATCAGTTTTTTACAAGTTTATTAATAATTGATAAAATGATGAGTTCTTTACAATTGTACTTAAGTAAGGTCAGCTGGGCCACAATGTTTTTTATTTTTTAATTCTAAATAAAAATATCCCACCCGTTCTATATAAATGTATAAATGTATATACTTAAGTACCTAATTAGTAATTAGTATTAAATACTAAGAAAAAAACACAATCCAAAATATTTTTTTATAGTTATTTGTCAAATTACAACAATTATTGTATATTCGATAACAAAAATACTTTTACTATAGGTATTTTATTTTATGTTAAAAATAAATATTTATTAATTTGTATACCAATTTTTTATTTCTGAATTAACATTTTTATGTATAATAATCCTAACTATCTTCAACTTCAATCTAATCTGACTTATCCCACAAAATTTTCCAATTTTAGTTTTTATAAAATAATGTCATAAAACTTATGGTTTATAGGTCAAATTGTTTATTTAATATTTGTAAATAAATATATATTAATAGGTCGCAAAATTAAAGGGGACGACAAATACATTTCACTGTCATATTATGACAGTGAGGCGTATTTGTCTCCTAAAGAATTTTACCATAGAATGAATTTTACGATTGTAGAATACAACATATTAGAACGTGGGGATCTGACATATTTGGAAATATTCTCAAAAGCTTCCTAGAAGCTCCATAAGAAACCTTCTAAGAACATTCCAAAAACGTATTCTTAAAATGTTCTTAGGATGCTTTTTAGAAAGGTTTTAAGAAGCTTTTAAGAATCTTGCATCATTAAAAGGGTATCTATTGAATGTTTTAAAAGTCCCTAAGAACATTCTTAGCAATAAAGTAAGGTTCTAAGAATATTCCATTATTCCGGGTCATATCTTAGAAGATTCTTAAAATCAAATTTTGCTATCAGGGAACCACGAGACTTTGATATAAAATAGTACAATATATGTATTTTTTTCTGTATAGTTGAAATTAGCTTAACATTGACAGAAAATTAACCTTAATTATTTTTATCAAAGTCACGTCGTGGGACTTTGATGTGTGGAGCATAATACATATGAGGTCATTATTGGCAAAACTCTCTCTTTGCTATTTGGTTTACTTTTCAGGAGCAACAATGAATCTCCTACAGTTTTTCAAAAAAATATATTTTTTGCAAGTGGAGAGTTTTAAAAAGAAAAAGGTAAACACAGTGAAACTAAACGTTAATTTATTAACCAACTTGTAATATAAAAAAAATTGTTGGAACACAAACTAAAATTAGTATGCAAACGAAAAAAAATATTTTCAGTGTCGCTTACGTTTTGACACACGTCTTGATCATCTTCACTTTTAGCAGCTTGATCTTAAATAATTTTGTAGAAGGCTTATACTGGTAGTGATATCCAATATTCGCCATAATGTTTAACCAGCAAACCAAAAATGGGAGTTTTACTCCCTTTAAGTTTCTTGCTTAGAGGCACTTTAACTGGCTGAATTGATGTAAAGAAAGAGTTTTGCAAATAACCAATAACTCTTTAACCGATTTTATATAGCAAAGAAGCAGTTTTAATTCGTTTTAAAGGTGGCAATACATTCCTTATCAAAGATCAGATGAAATAAGCAAAAAAAGGAAATTTTGATTATTTTGTCGATTAATAGCCTCATATATAAAGGGGTAAGAAGCAAAAGGGTACAAGTGAAAAAGAGAGAAATGGAGTTATTAATTAAAGTTTTGGATACTTGTTCAATGTTTGCATTAACTCGTACAATTTTCACGTTATGAGAACTAGACTATAGTTGAACTCTAAACTATAGTGAATATACCCACTTCTGTACTTAACTTATTTTGGTGCTAAAATGCATTTTTACTCTTTCTTACCCCTTCATATGTTAGAGTAAGTGAAACATGTCTAACAAAAAAAATATGAAATTCTGGACGAGCTGGACATGAGTGAGGAAGAACCGGAATATGACTCAGATACAGATCCGCCTTATGAAGACAAGGAGAAATCTGACACCCAAGATTCTTCGAGTGATTCAGTTGATTGACTTTGGTACCTAACAATCAACATCCTGATTTGATTCTATACCTATATGTAGCTATAGCAGAAGAACTACTTGCAACAGAAGGCTTTCGTTTTTAACGCATAACTACCTATAGGTTGCAAGTAATAATAATAGTAATAATAATATTGCCTTTATTATTAAAAAAGCTACTCTCCAAGTAGTTCTGCTGCTGGTACTTTGAATAAGAAGAGAAGAACTAAGGGTAATGATGATGGATTTAATAGAGAAGATATTGAGGCGGCTTTAACAGATAATATAAATGATGAATGAGAAGTAGTTGCTAGTAGATACTATAGAACCGTTGAGTGAAGGACTAAACTTTAATCAATGATTGGGCCATCTTCACATTTAAACAAATGGTATCCCACTGGCTTAGACAAAATCTTTAGATTTTTTTTAGTATTGGTGTGCATGGGTTTGAATCAAAAACCATCACTTTTGGATTATTGGGGAAAATCATAAATGTATTTATCAAACGCATCTAAAGTCATGTCACGCAATTTTGTTCGGGATGTTGAGTTTTTCTGATAATTATAATGAATTATGACCACATTTTGCCTGATAAAGATATGTGTATCAAAGAAACGATGGTACCGTTTCGGCGAAAATTTCGAAAGTACATGAAGGGAAAATGTTATCACTTCAAATTATGTATTACCCGGTGGATACATGGATCATGCTATATTGTGACGAACAAAGTTGACGGCATAATTGTAGCTACAAAAGTTGTACTTGATTTCATAAAGATAAATCTTGATAAAAACACTCTACATTGACAACTGGTTCACAAATCTATACTGAAAAGCTAAAAGACAGAAAAACACATCTAGTCGAAACACTCAGACAACATCAAAGAGGCATACCAAAGAAAGTGGTAAACGCTAAATAAGGCAAAATAGTTTCCCGTGAAAAGAAACGATTTAGAAAGATAACAGAGGCTTTTGATGCTTCCCAAAACATACAGGTGAAGTTTTAGAAATTTCTATGACCAGATGTCTTCTTATTTAACATCTGTACAAGAAAGCATTTAATGCTTCAGAAAAATGTGGATTTTCGACTTTCAAGAAAAATCTTTGCTTGCTACTTTTTAATGTTGGCAAGGGAAACATTAAGGCGCATGTCAGGTTACTTAATAAAATAAATACAGGACTATAAAAAAGGACGTTGCAAAATGTTACCAACAAAATAAGGACACTTATGACCCTATATATGCAATTAGCAAAAGTCTCATCGGGATTTCAGCCATGCCTAGGAAAACGCATTCTGTACTTGGAATGTTTCTTTGCAACCCACAATATAACATCAAAGAAATATATATGGTTATTATTAACATTTTGCATGTGACTGCAAAAAAAATTTTGGCTCGATTTTTGACAAAATATACTTTTGAATGAAGGGTTTGAAATTTTAAACAAAAATGTCAGCTAAGTCCCTACCGGTGTACATCCACGTCACGATCATCATTTTAAGTTTAAAACTTGTAATACCATGTATTTCTAAAACAAAGCGACATACGATAAAAATCCATATGTTTAAAATTGAGTAAGGATTGAAAAGTCAGGAATCGCCCTGTATTTCTTGTATAAAAATCCATACGACGTAATCTATACGTAGGGTATGTAAATCAAAGGACAACAAGATTAGTAATGGAATTATCTCGCAAATCCGGAATTCGACCTTGTAGAGGATCATCTGTCTCAATTGTTGTCCAGAATGGTCTATTGGAGCAATTAATCCCTGACAAATGCGCATAGTGAGTGGGAGCCGAGAAATTAATTAAATCATAGTAAGTAATTGAAAGAACATTTATTATGTCTTAATCAATATGTATCTACTAATACAATATTTGAGTAGTGATTCTTCAAAAGGCCGTATTTCCATTTTTACTTAAATGTCATTTTTAGACGACAACCCAGACAGTACTGATTTATTTTTTGGAACTAAAAATTTGAAATTATTTATAAAAATGGTTGATTATAGTTCATAACAATCGTATTCACTTTTTTAATTTTTAAATTACAACATTTTCAAAAAAATGTTGGACCTTTTAAAAGGACATTAGTAATATTGGCTAGATATAGGTTTGTCAGAATTTATTGTTACAAATACAAAATATTCATTAAAAATAAATGACACATTTCCAAAATTAACTTATGTGATACTCCTTGAAATAATGTTTGGGAAGCAACCCAACGTCACATTTTTCACATCTAAATTGCACTTTTTGTTTTTTGGCCACCTCCCCTCTTGTTTGACCTCCTTTGTTTGTCCAGTGAAAAGCGTCCAATGACAGGTGGCACTTAACTCATTCATATCACTTAACACTTCACTCCTCATTGACCGTTACACCATTTTAGTTTGCACTTTATGAAAATTGTTTCTTTCACTATAATTGGTTTGCACTTTTTAAAAATTATTGTTGGTTTTAATCTTTAAAATTTTACGTTTTAAAAGCTCTCGCTCTCGCGTCATGCCTTCTCAAGTGCTGGAACCTGACTGCGATAAAAGGACTAAAAGGTACATGAAAACAAATTTTTTAATTGAAAAAACTACAATTTTTTTTAATGTGACGGTCAGGGCAAAAAGTCTCGAGGCTCATGGAATGCCGTTTTTAGTTTTTTCAATTAAAAAATAAAATTTGTTATCATATTTAATCCTTTTAAATAATGCGATATATCAATTATTGTTATCTCGAATATCTCGGAAACGGTTTATTTTA